TGGATAATTTTATCTAGTTTTCACTTTTCTAACACATTTTTTTCTATCTAGACCAAAAACCAGTTATGCATTTGTAATTTCATTTTATAGAATTATTCTAAGGCATTATTTAAAACAATTGTATTGTCTACATTATAGTAAAATTAAAGTAATTTTTATTTTCTTCATCATCGTAAAAAATATGTTAGTAAAACTAAAAACTTTAAGAAAAAAATGTCTACAATTTTTTATTTTTACTGAAATTATTTATATTTTATGATAGAAATTATTTTTATAAAATACAAGAATTTTCCTAAATTTTATTAACGCTTACGTATTGCAAATTTACTTTTTCAAATTCCTTTTTATTAAATAACAATTTATAACTAAAAAAATGCATTTTGTATTCTACAATAGTAATTATATATAGCAACTAGTTTTTAAGTAATACTATAAAATAACATGAATGCATATACATACATATACATCTTTATTCAAAGGTTAAAAATACTCACAAATTAAACTAAAAGTTTTGCTATTTTTTTTTATATATATTCACTTGTTGTACAATATTGTAATTTAAGTATGATGTTCTATAATATGTTTAGTATAAAAACAAATAAAAAAACCTACAAGTTCCTTAAGTAACATTTGATGTATTCATAATTTTATGTGTAAATGTTCTCTGGAGTCCAAGTATGTTTTTTGATGAATGCATGTATGCTCAAAAAGATTGTTGTATATATATATATATATATATATATATATATATATATATATATTATGTGTGTGTATGTATGTATACGTATGTGTGTATTTAATTAAATGTATGTACACATCTATCTATTATCAGTAAATATTGATTTCATTTAAAATCCTATCTATCGGTTCAACGAATAAATTGACTATTTCGTTTGGCGGCCTCGGAAAATATTTAGAGTTATGAAATACAGGCAACATACTCGTATAACGTGATGATTTATCGCCTTTTGCAACTTTTTTAATGTTTTTGTTTTCCACATTTATATTTCGAAACATTTTCCACAGATACTGTGGAAACTATGCGCTTTTAGTTCGGATAATAAAAGTTCGGAAAATAATATGTATATATATATATATATATATATATATATATATATATATATATATATATATATATATATATACTAATTCTTAAATACTATTTTTTTTAAATAACATATAAAATTTACATATAAAAAAATATTTTGTCAGTATTTTTTTCTTGTATTTAATTTGTTTGTAAAGAAATTATATTTAGGTTCAAATTATCTATCTAATAAGACCTTTATTAAAGCAATTTACCTTAACAGGCGATCTTAAATCCCTATAAAATACCTTTCCATTCTAAAAATGCAAAGTAGGCTTATATTACATTCTTTTGGAAATATATCAAGATCAATTTTGATTCGTTTTTGTCGCACGGGAAATCTTGTGAACAGAAATCGATTCATCAACCCTGTGTAATATAAATACATTGATATATATATATATATATATATATATATATATATATATATATATATATATGTATGTATGTATATATATGTATATGTATATATCGAGGTATCAAGTTATTTAGAATAACAAATGAGGCGAAATATTCGCGTATGTAAAAAAAAGTTCACGGAAGAAAAACGAGAGAAAATAACTTTTCTCGAAACGGGGTTCTAAATCAAAATAGTGTCACTGGAAAAAGGCACGTTTTCAATAACTGATAATACATAATATATTAAGCTTGTCAGGACGAACCGTTTGTTGGACGAATTTCAAATATCAAAAATCCAGAAAGACATAAAATGGACTTGTGCACCGAGGAGAAAAAAATACACTTATTTATATAATTTACAACTTTGTTGATTATGATTTACATAGAAGAATCTATCAAATGTAACGATTTCATATATCTACAGTAGTTCACCCACTTTTTCTATTTTCCGCACAAAAGAGTCAATTTTCCATAAACCCATTTGCCAATAATTTTCCTATACCGTATGAAATCGCTATTTTGTTATCGCCTCGTCTACATTTTCCGTAATTCGATGTGGAAAACTGGATTTTCTACTATCGAATAGGAAAATATACACGTTATATATATATATATATATATATATATATATATATATATATATATCGAATCAGAATCCGGTACGGTGGAGACGCCGATACTTTTCGATATACTAAAATTATTTATTAATTTATTTATTTTAAGTCTCGATTATATAATATACTATTATATTATAGAAAATATAATATATATATATATATATATATTTGTGAATATAAAATATAATACTTATATAACAAATTGCATTAATTACTTTGCATTGCTATTAATGACATGTGGTTTGAATTTTGCAAATAAATCATAGTTTGCGAATAAAATTGTATCATGTCATCATAGTTGACATTTTTAGCAATAACATATCACAACTTCATTATTCTCGTGTATAAACGGTTTGTGATATAAATAACACATATGGTATAAATATCACAAAATCACATATTTTTTCGTTATAAATTCGATTTTGACTCATTTTGCAAAACAAATTATTTTAACAAAAATATAGTACTTGATTACTTTCTTCTGCAAATTTATTTCCGTAATGGTTATAAAAAATAATGTTTATTATAGATATAATACTTGCAGGAATAGAAATTGAAAAGGTTGAACTGAAAATAAACAAAATCAATATTGAAATATATAATAATAGGATTTAAAAAAAAAATTTAAAACTCTGTATTTTGGACTAAATTATTTCAACAAAAACAATTATTAAAAAAATTATATATAAATAACTTTCTTATACATAAAACTTATATAGTCAATTTTATGTTTAATAATGTAAGAAAAATTATAAACTTAATATATATTTGTAACCTCAATCGTTTTTGATAAACTCATAAAATAAAACATTGTAAAAATTGTGAGGGGTTTTTGTGCCTAATTTTAAATTCACCATTTTTAAAATCATTTTTATCTTTTGATTTTCACAACTTTTATATTTATAAATAACTTTTATATTTTTTAAACTTATCAAATATTTTTTATAATAATACACTTTTTATTTATAACTTCAAACTTTTTAAATAAGCACAATAAGCAATTTTCAATACATTTGGTGAAAGCAAATTTTAGTTTTAGTATGTGCAGTTTTTTTAAACCAAAATCAATACTTCAAAGATAAAATTCAAATTCTTTAAGTTTTGGAATAATTTAAAAATGTATAAATGTACAAAAAAATTGTTTGTTTTAAACTGTTCCTGAAGAAGTCCTAAAAGGATTAAAATAATGTAAAATACGAAAAATTAAATATGTAATTTATTGAGGAAAATAAGAAGCTTTTAGCTATATATATATATATATATATATATATATATGTATATATATATAGAATTTTGTGATATGAGTGGAACGAATATTAAATGTTAAATATGAACAATACAATACTCAGATTTTTGACGCACACTTTATTTAATAATTACAGACGTTTCGAGACCAAGGTATGCCTCATCTTCAGTGTAATTTCAAAAACAGTTACTTATATACTACACTATTTTCTAATTAACTGAAATGAAGGTTTTGTGACATTTTTCTAATTTTTTTTAAATGACTCAAAAACTTCGTTTCGCGCACTCTTTTTTATTTGGCTTAGTAAAAACTAGATAAAATTCGCTACATATTCCTATAATCTATTACAAATACTCACATACGAAAAATTCAAATAAATTAGGTTTGAACTCGCTACAATATGTCCAAGTTTTCAATTTGCAATACACGTAATATATACTTAGGGTTGTACTCATTTTAATTAAAAAATATTTATAATAGCATTATAAGTCATATTTTATTATTTAACTTTATATTGTATACTGTTTTCCTAATAAATACAGTTAGGAGCTTGATTTAGCCTAAAAGTGCACGCAACCTGGATCGACCCTTTGTTTTAGGTTACCGTGCATACGAAAAATCTTGGGAAAACTTTTGGTTCTATGTTCACTCTTAGCTATGAAAATTTTTATGAATTAAATTATCTAAATATCAGTTTATGATGTATTATTCATAATGTAATTTAAAAAATATGCTAAAATTGAATATTCAACATTTTAGAAGAGTATTTATAAAGACGTATACATTTATCTCAGTTTTTTCATTACAATAATTCATTATAATAATTTTCATTACATTAATTTCATACATGTGGGACATTTTTCTACATTTTTTCAAATAACTCAAAAACTTCGTTCCACACATTTTTTTCTAGTTTGCTTAGCAGAAACTAGATTAAATTTACTACAAATAAATACAGTTAGGAGCTTGTTTTTGCCTAAAAGTGCACGCAACCCGAATCGACTCTTTGTTTTAGGTTAACGTGCAAACGCAAAATCTTGGGAAAACTTTTACTTCTGTTTTTACTCTTAGCTATATTTTTTTTATAAATTAAATTATCTAAATATCAGTTTATGATGTATTATTTGTAGTATTATGTGTAGTATATAAGTAACTGTTTTTGAAATTACACTGAAGATGAGGCATCCCATGGTCTAGAAACGTCTGTAATTATTAAATAAAGTGTGTGTTAAAAATCTGAGTGTTGTAACATTTAATATATATATATATATATATATATATATATATATATATATGAAGTAGTTATTTATTCTGTAAAAATTGTAAACAAATTAGTAGTAGGTATATTAAGTACATTTATTTATTTGCATGAATACTATGTAATTAGTCAAATTTATCTAATTAGCCTAACATATAACTAATTCACCTAGAAGTATATTCACCATCTATAAAAATATTCAACAAAAATTTTCTAACAATAAATAATTCCAGCCTATCAAAAGCATCGAAATCTCTTAACCGCATGACCTTGTAGCTTAGATAAAACTTCTCTAACCAAAACCTCTGTCTCTAACTTTTTCTTCTGCAGCCTAAAACTTACCACATTTTGTAACGATTATAACTAATATTAATATTTTATTTTTTTATTTAGCATATCATTTTACTACGAAATCAGCAAAGAGCACGAGTACATTTGCTCCAGGCCGGAGGACAACGGAATGCACCAGTGCTCCGGGTTGCCGCCCTATAGGTTAGGGGCAAGGGAATGCTTTAGCCCTGCTCAGCCCTATAGTCTTAATTTGCCTACGGAGAACTCGTGTGTTGACTGGAATAGGTAAATATGATAAATGACACAGTAATAAATTATATTTTATATAACAATTAACGGAAAAAGTAGAAAAAAGTCCCGAATTTTCTATTGCATTTATTAAAAAATCGATTTCAAAGTCATTTTATTCAAATCTTTTATATCGGAGTGTATATAACTGTTTACAGGGATTTTTTGTAAATTTTATCTAGTTTCTGCTTAGCTAACTAGAAAACAATGCCATGTTGAGTTATTTTAAAAAAATGTAGAAAAATGTCCCAAATCCTTTATATGTGTCATTGTTGCGCGCGAGCAAGTGCGATTTATTTAAAAAGTATATATATTTAAAAAGTTTATGTAACAGTATATACATTTTTTTAATGGCCTTGTGGCAAATTTTATCTAGTTTCTGCTAGGCCATTTAAAAAAAAATGTGTGCGGAACGAAGTTTTTGAGTTATTTATAATATACATATACATATATATATATATATATATACATTTGAAAAACTGTAGAAAAAGGTCTCGAATTTTCTATTGGATTTATCAAAAAATCGATTTCAAAGTCGTTGTGTGCAAAACTTTTATATCAAAGTGTATATAAATATTAACACGGATTTGCAGTAAATGTTATCTAGTTTATAACTAGAAAAGAATGTCTAGTGCAAAGTTTTTGAATTATTAAAAAAATGTAGAAAAATGTCTCGAAATTTCTATTGCATCTATCAAAAAATCAATTGCAAAGTCATTTTAGCCAAAAAATTTATATCGGAGTGTATATAACTATTTACATAGACTTGTAGTAAATTGTATCTAGTTTCTGCTAAGCTATTTAGAGAAAAATGCTATGTACAAAGTTTTTGAGTTGTTTAAACAAATGCAGAAACATGACTCAAATGTATATAATTGATTAAATGTTATAAATAATTATGAAATAAAAAAAAACTAAGATATATGTATATATCTTTATAAATACTCTTCTAAAATGTTAAATATCCGATTTTTGCATATTTTTTAAATAACATTATAAACAATACATCATAAACTGATATTTAGATAATTTAATTTATAAAAATTTTCATAGCCAAGAGTAAAAACAGAAGTAAAAGTTTTCCCAAGATTTTGCGTATGCACGTTAACCTAGAACAAAGGGTCGATCCAGGTTGCGTGCACTTTTAGGCAAAAACCAGCACCTAACTGTATTTATTAGGAAAACAGTATACAATATGAAGTCAATAAAATATGACTTATAATACTATTATAAATACTTTTTAATTAAATTGAGAACAACCTTACGTTTGTATTTCGTATATTGCAAATTGCAAACTTGGACATGTTGTAGGGAGTTCAAACCTAATTTATTTGAATTTTTCGTATAGGAGTGTTTGTGATAGTTTATAGGAATATGTTATTCAAAGAAATGTAGGAAAATGTTCCCCAGAATTTTCTATTGCATTTATCAAAAAATCGATTTCAAAGTCATTTTATTCAAAACTTTTATCTCGAAGTGTATATAAATGTTTTCACGGATTTCTAGTAAATTTTATCTAGTTTTTGCTAAGCAAATAAAAATAAAGCGCCCGGTACAAAGTTTTCGAGTTATCAAAAAAAATTATTTCTAAAAAAAATCTTTAATCAAATTATACCAATTTACAAACAAAATAAACAAAAATATCTATCATGTTAGGTAAAATTACAATTTATCAATATCAGACATTCCATAATTATTGCAACAAACATGTGATTATGTATAAAATTGATTAAATATTATAAATAATTATGAAATAAAAAAAAACTAAGATAAATGTATACGTTCTTTATAAATACTTTTCTAAAATGTTAAATATTCAATTCTTGCATATTTTTTAAATTACGTTATAAAAAATACATCATAAACTGATATTTAGATAATTTAATTTATAAAAATTTTCATAGCTAAAAGTAAAAATTGAACTAAAAGTTTTCCCAAGATTTTACGTATGCACGTTAACCTAAAACAAAGGGTTGATCCAGGTTGCGTGCACTTTTAGGCAAAAACAAATCCCTAACTGCATTTATTAGAAAAACAATATACAATATGTAGTCAAATAATAAAATATGACTTATAATACTATTATAAATATTTTTTAATTAAATTGAGTACATCTCTATGTTTATATTACGTGTATTGCAAAATGCAAACTTGGACATATTGTAACGAGTTCAAACCTAATTTATTTGAATTTTTTGTATAGGAGTGTTTGTAAGAGATTATAGGAATATGTAGTACATTTTATGTAGTTTGTGCTATGCTAATAAAAATAGAGTGTCTGGTACAAAGTTTTTGAGTTATTTAAAAAAATGTAGAAAAATGTCCCCAATTTTCTATTGTATTTATCAAAAAATCGATTTCAAAGTCATTTTAGCCTAAACTTTTATCTCGGAGTGTGTATAACTGTTTACACGGATTTGTAGTAAATTTTATCTAGTTTCTGCTTAGCTAAAAAAGAGTGTGGGGTACAAAGTTTTAGAGTTAATTAAAAAAATGCAGAAAAATGACCCGAATCCTCCATATATTGTTCTAGTTACAGATGTTCTGAAGTCTCGTATACTTATATAATTTGATTTTTGAATATACTAATTACAAATATTTGATATTAATATATAAATATTTTTATTTTTTCAGATATTATACAAATTGCACACAACTAGGAGGAAATCCATTTCAAGGAACAATTTCTTTTGACAATATTGGACTAGCGTGGGTTGCAATTTTTTTGGTAAGTAGAATAATTTTTTTAATCTAAAAATATTGTAATAGATGCTGTTTAAATTTATATATATATATATATATATATATATATTCAAGTATGTGTCTATATCCCTGTAAATTTGCATTCACTCATTCACACTCTTTTTTGCTCCCTCGGATGGATGCCCCATATATTAGCCTTTAAAATATTCCGTTTGCGATTCGAACCCGGTAATTGATAGGGCATTATTCGCTCAATGGAATCCAAGTGGAATCCGATTTGAATGAAGTTTCTGACAAAAAAAATACTCTGCAAAGCTCCATAAAATGGAGAGCGACGACAACAACACATGTTCGTTGAGAAATTTACATATCAATGGCCCTAATACGAGGGCCAAATTGTTGAAACAAATTCAGAATAAAGCCAAAGGTCGGGAAAAATAAAATTTCAGTTTGAAACGTTTATTTGATGCTGACATGTTTTATCTTATAACAACTATGTCTTATAGTCCTCTATCCCGCATTAAAATATTTCCTAGATATTTTCTACGTCGTGAGCTCAAGACAGGAGATTTTTCATTAAAATTCAGTCCCCGTCCAATGTCGTTTCTATGCAATTTTAATAATGTTCTTTATTCAGTTTAAATTCTCGAAATATTGCCATCAACTTTTACTAAACTAACTTTCTGAAAGACGACGACTTTGAGCAAAGTTTATATTAAAAATAGTTTGTTTTTATTTAAACTTGCAGGAAAAAATTCTAGCAACAAGTAATGGAAATATTTATGCTATAAGAAATTATATTGGAGAGTAAAATTATGTTGAATTTTTACAAAAATAATTTATTTATTGATCGTATTTAAAGAAGGACTAATAAAATATGTATGAACAATGAATTATGGAATTACTTATATATATATATATATATATATATATATTTATATATATATGTGTGTGTGTGTGTGTGTATATACCAATTTATGGTGACATAAAATAATTACGGCGGTTTCAAGAAGACATAAATTTAGTTATATTGCTATAAATTCGCATTTACAACGCTCATAAACTATTACTTAAATACGCCACAAAATAATTATTTTTTAGTGTTATTATACATAAATATTCTACCGATATTATTATTTATTCATGTTTGGTAATCGTAAATTGTTACATTTCAAAACTAGGAAATTCGTTAGTACATCTAAATTAAGATATTATAAATATTTCTTCAACGTATTATCTTTATCATATATTTTTAAATCTAAAAGTCTGTGCTTCAATTGATGTGGTGATTAAAAAAATTATGTATTGAATTTTCTATTCCTCAGACACGCTAGTCTTTTTCAATTCATGTTAAAAATGAAATAGCTAACGGGTAATCCTTAACTTGCTAATTTATGAGGAAAAAAATATTGATGTTAAATATATAATTAACAAATTTCATACTCATTTTTGTTATATTTTTTTCCTAGCTAATTTGTAATCAACTTTATTTTACCATATACTTGTCAGCATTCTCTGCTTAATGTAATAATATATACAGATTGCAAAATAAAATAACAAATATTTCACATATGAAATCTTCAAAAAATTATTTGTAACTGTGGCAATTCTCAGTTATATTTTCTGCAAAGCAAAAAATTTTTAAATGCTTTTTTAAAAAAAATGGAAAATATATTTATATTAATATATATATATATATATATATATATATATATATATATATGTATGTATATTAGGGTGGTCTTCAATATGAACATTTTCGAATTTCCTTACTCCCAGGGGCTCAACTGGTTCCAAATTGATAAAAAAAATTCTCTGAAAGTTTTGGCTTTTAATATTAACTTTTAGATAGTGCGCAATTCAATCAAATTTTGTAAGGAAATAGCATGGACATACATCATAAACTAATATTTAGATAATTTAATTTATGAAATTTTTTACAGCTAAGAGTAAAAACAGAAGTAAAATTTTTCCCAAGATTTTGCGCGTGCACGTTAACCTAAAAGAAAGGGTCGATCCAGGTTGCGTGCACTTTTAGGCAAAAATAGCCCCTAACTGTATTTATTAAGAAAACAATATACAATATGAAGTCAAATAATAAAATATCACTTATAATACTATTATAAATATTTTTTAATTAAATTGAGTACAACCCTATGTTTATATTACGTTTATTGCAAATTGCAAACTTGGACATATTGTAGAGAGTTCAAAACTAATTTATTTAATTTTGTATCGGAGTGTTCGTGATAGATTATAGAAATATAAAGTTTTTTTTATTTAGTTTCTGCTAAGCTAACTAAAAAAGAGTGTGCAGAATGAAGTTTTTGTGTTATTCAAAGAAATATAGAAAAATGTCTCGAATTTTCTATTGCGTTTATAAAAAATCCATTTTCAGAGTCATTTCATTCAACGCTTTTATATCGGATTGTATATAACTGTGTACACGGATTTGTAGTAAATTTCATTTAATTTCTGCCAAGCTAACTATAAAAGAGTGCCAGGTACAAAGTTTTTGAGTTATTCAAAGGAATGGTTTGTAAAAAAAAACCTTAATCAAACTATACGAATTTACATAAACAAAAATATTTTTCATGTTAGGTAAAATTACAATTTGCAATAGCAGACATTTCATAACTATTGCAACAAACTTGTGATTATGTATAAAATTGATTAAATGTTATAAATAATTATGAAATAAAAAAAACTAAGATAAATGTATACGTATTTATTAATACTCAATACTAAAATGTTAAATATTCAATTTTTGCATATATTTTAAATTACATTATAAATAATACATCATAAACTGATATTTAGATAATTTAATTAATAAAAAAAATATAGGTAAGAGTAAAACAGAAGTAAAAGTTTTCCCAAGATTTTGCGCGTGACGTTAACCTGGAACGATGCGTCGGTCTAGGTTGCGTGCACTTTTAGGCAAAAACAAGCCCCTCACTGTATTTATTAGGAAAACAATATATAATATGAAGTCAAATAATAAAAAATGACTTGTAATATTATTATAAATATTTTTTAATTAAATTGAGTACAACAATAAAAGTTAATATTAAGAGCTAAAACTTTCAGGGAATTGTTTTTTATCAATTTGGAACCATTTGAGCCTTTGGGAACAAGGAAATTCGAAAATGTCCATATTAAGGATCACCCTGATATATATATATATATATATATATATATATATATATATATTATGAATATAAATATAAATGAATGAGTGTGTGTGCATATATATGGTGTGTATATGAAATATTAACATGAACCGCACTGGCAGCCTTGCAACATGTTTTGTTTGTTTCTCTTTGTCGGCGCACATAAGCCTTGCTCGGTGCTCCACTCTGCTCCAACCCTCGACCTCACCCTTTCGGCAGGTTGAGCAGAGAGCGTTATAAGCGAGACGGGCGATGGGCGATGGGCGATGGGTGAGAGCTTTAATATTTAATTCCTCGGGAACCGGCAAAACCTCAAAGTTTCGAATACGGAAGTTGGCTCGATCCGACTAACTCCACTCTCTCTCACTACTACTCTCGACTCGACTCGACTCTCTTTCGAGAGAGAGAACAAAGTGGCACACAACTATTCCGCCGATAGTGATAGTGATAGCGGTTTTAGGTACAGGTGACGGCATTCGATTGTTTCTACTGTCACGGAAAAACGTTTGTGCATTGTCGGAAGGCGACTTTTAATGAATTGTCGGGGGAAAGCTATTTCTTGCGGGTAAGAATTGAGACAAAAATTTTATAAAATTCTAACTTAAAATACATACATTATAAGTCGTCATGGTAATTCTTTTTAACTTCCCGTAAGGTAAGTTAGAGCAATGGGCCGAAAATTGAAAATGAAAATTTTTGCATATCTTCAGGTTTCAGAGGTTTCTGAAAATACTGGCATACCTCAGAAAAAATTGATGTGTGTGTGTGTGTACGTTATCGGGGGCAAAGATCAACGGATTAGAACGGTTCAGAAAATATACCTGGTGGCCCATAACACAACCGAAACGAAGTGATAGTGCTGATAGAGAAAAAAAGAATTTACGTATTTTGAAAGTTATGAACCCTAAAGCTTTAGCTAAACCGTGACAATTTTTTGGTTATTGTGGCTAATTTGAATTAATTTTGATCATTTAAGCGTTGGATCCGTAACCGTAAATAACAGTCAAAAATAATGACATGATTGTCCCAAATTTTCAAGAATTAAGACTTTCTGTTGGAACTGTGAATTTCTATTTATATATATATATATATATATATATATATATATATTACGTGGTCTGTTCAAAAAGTACCGGAATTACTAATAATTAAATTTCGCGGTCTGGAGTGTCTGATTGTCAAAATTTTTTTTTTATTGTGTTGGTATACATGCCCCTAAAGTATGATGAAATTTTCAGCTATATTCACTGTTTACTTTGTCTGTGGTAGTCGCTAAGGTTCGACGTGTTTTTCTGAGCTCGGCGATTTTTACAATGGAAGAATTGAAAAGTCAAAGAATTTGTATTAAATTTTGCGTAAAAAATGAAATAAAGTGTTGCAAAGTGCAAAATTCACCAGATATGGCTCCGTGTGACTTTTTCCTATTCCCAAAGTTGAAGGACCCATGAAAGGACGGCGGTTTTCCTCGATTGAGAAAATCGCTGAGAGTGCTCAAGGACATATCAAAAAGTGAATATCAAGGGTGCTTCGAAAATTGGAAAAAACGCTGGCATAAGTGTATTATATCTGGGGGGACTACTTGAAGGGGACCACATTAATGTAGACGAATAATAAATATTTTTTTTGAAAAAACGAAAATTCCGGGTACTTTTTTGAACAGACCAC